CTTATAACTCTGGATTTGGTTATATACATGCATATGGCTATTGCAGGTGCGATGCACATTAATAATATAAACATAAATACTTGGAAGTGGCAATAACCTTGTGCATTCCTTGAATTGTAATTGTAAAAACTTGCCAAATATTTTTAATTAAAGGCCAGTAATAAAGCAAGAAAATTGGGTAGACATAATATTATCTCTTTACATGTACATGCATCCAGTGTTATCAAACAGTGACCTACACTCTGGAAAATATTAAAGCTTGATAGTGTGTGGCCTCTACTAGAAAAGGTAGAAGTGAGGCAATTTTGTGTATAAGCTAAACACAAATAACTTGTCAGCATTTACTGAACTTAAAAGGACACTATAGTCACGAGAACCGCTACAGTTTAATACAGAGATTCTGGGGTCTATAACCTGTCCCTGCAATTTTAGCACTGTTAACACTGCCTTTTACACCTCTAGTAGCAATCACTCAGATGGCCACTAGAGGTGCTTCCTAGACCAGTGTTGCATGGTGTGCAGTACTGGCATTCAGCGACTTCACGTTTTGCATGTAGACGCTGAACGATCCCCATAGAGATGCACCGACTCAATGCATCTCTATAAGGAGATGCTGATTGGTGCAGCACAACATTTTGCCTCCTCACAATGCATTCCTACGGGAAAACATTGGATTGGCTATAGCAAGAACGGCATTGCATGGGAGACAAGTTGAGCAAAATCACCTAAAAATCACCTAAAGGCTGCATTCCAGGACTAGAGTGTCAGGAATGATGTTTGTATTTCTGACAATATACTGATCCTTTAAAGCAGTAGAAGAAATCTAGTGAAACACATAAATCACACCTAAAGATTTAAAAAAAATACAAAAAAGTAAAAATGTTAAACCTTTTTTGCACACTTTTTTTTTTTATTTGTGGCTGTAACACACCCTGCAAGCTACACACACACTCACATAGGCTGAGAAAATACTTGAGCCCATCAAGTTCAGTCTTTGTGTAGATTTATTTTACCACAGCAATAACAAACCTCACAATACTGTACTATGCTTGCCAAGTAACTAGAATTGATGCTATAGTGGACGCACACTTACCTGGATGAAAGACTTGGCTTTCCACTTTTGCTACAACTGGTATATAGTCCAGGCCCATCATCAAAAAAACTTCCAAGTGCCAGCTTCTGTCGTATTGATTCCCTTTCATTCTTCTGAGCCTAATGCAAAAAGACCAAAGAAAAACAGAAGATTAGAGCAATAATATCATTGTGATCAGTGTGACATGTTGATAAAGGCTTTGTGTGAAAGTTTATTTAAGCAAGATTACGACACTGTAGACTTTTTTTAATGAGCCGAGTTGGAAGGAGAAGTTATCGTTTTAATACATACAGTCAAAATTAAAGTTTCTGTAGCTAAACTGAAAGCTATACATTTTGTAACTTACAATTGGCCGCCATTTATTTTCACCTCGTCTGATGGCAACACTGTAAAACTACAGAACTCATTTGTCAAATACGCCAGGAAACTAGCAAGAATGTAAAATTTCCATTTCCTGCTTAAATGAAAACATTTACATTAAATTGACTTTACCTATCAAAGATTCACTGCTTTTAGTCTGAATTTCAGTTAAAGGGACACTATAGGCACCCAGGCCACTTAATCTCTTTGAAGGGGTCTGGGTGCACTACCCCTGTCCCTTTAGCCATTCAGCAGCAAACACATTGCAGGGTTTAGACAACCTCTAGTGGCTCTCTCCCAGACAGTCACCTGATGCACTTCCTTGCCTTTTATGGAGTTTAACTCCAGAAAACGAATGTGGATGTCCTCACGCTAGTCGTGAAGATATGCAACGTCTTCTAAAAGCCCATAGGGAAGCATTGAGTCATTGAGCTTGCCACACATGTGCATTAGTCCCTCCCATCATCGGAAGGGGAATGCAAGCCAGTGCCGAGGGACTTTGGTGCTGGAATCAAGTATGTTTAAAAGGGCTTTTAAAAACGTATTTGCCACTGGATGGACAAAAAATAAATAAAATATCTAATTGTAGGTGACCATCCAACACAGTCCATGGGAGCTGAACTCACGGTAAGATGGCTAATTATTTTATCATGGTTTGACAACTTAACCTGGTTCTCACTTGCGGGCGTATGGTGTTTAGAGTGTTCCTATAATGCACTTAGTGTTCAGGGATGGAGACTACAAGAAAAAAAAAAAAAAAACATATTGCCTCAGTTTCACCAGCAACTATAAGCAGTATTCTGATCTTTTCAATTAACAATGGAATCAAATATCTAATGACACCCTTTGGTGCAATATTCCCTGAAAATATATGATATGAGACCTGTAAGATCTGCACATTTGATATCGGCTTTACTTCTGATGTTCAGAATTCAGCCCTAGCAAGTTTCAAAATGCAATATATATGTGTATACGTTTCCATTTTTTTAATGCGATTTGTAATAATGATGTTCGTAATAATTATGTTAGTAATTCTTATGAGAATTCCCAGTTGAAGATTATTACACTATGGCAGCTACATACACTCTATTTTACATGCATTCCATTTCAATCACCCATGTCTGACCTTGTATACTACGATGGCTGGGTTCACCAAGGTCACATAATTATTGAGTATGCCCTTTTAATTGATCACATGTTTATATAAGGGTTTTATTTTACAAAGAATTTACAACAGGTGGAAACAATGCTTGCTTTTCTGTAATCTCAATACATTTGGAGTGCTTTTCTCACAAATGTTGAACCTATTTTGTACATGTATAATAAGAATATCGGTCTCATGTCACTGCATCAGGACCGGACGGGCAGAAACCCAAGTAAGGGTGCCAACTGTTGATACACGGTTTGCCACATTACCAGATTATTTAGCCAGGGATGGCAGAGTTATGATTCTTAGAGTAACTCTTTAAGATCACTGCCGTTCATTAGAAAAAGAATAAAAAAATTATGAAAAATAAACGTTAAAAAAAAAAAATTTAAAAAAAAATCAGATATTAGTACTTACAATTCCCACAATACTAATCCAGAGGTTGAATTAGGTATTCTGTGACATGCCAAATTAAGCGATATGGAGTTTCTGCACCTTGCCAAAAATGTCTGGTCTGCAACTGCTCTAATACTGAGCCTGGTGGGCATTTTATCAGATATACCACCAGGGACCCGTTTCTGTGACCATCTGATGTGGAATGCAATACCATTAAGCGATCTATGTAATCAGATCAGTTTGATGGGCCCGGCATCCCAAACTCACATTCATGAGAACACAGGAGCTGTGAGCTGCGTATTCTACGGTTATAGCTAGCCAGGATCACTGGTGTTATGGTTCATCAACTGCAGAAGTGCTACCGTGGGTTCTGTTTGTGTAGGCCTAATGTTCTCTTCTGCTGTTCACAGTGATGTTATTTGTTAAACTGTGAGTGGACCTTAAGTGTGATCATTCTCAGATGAAAACCTGAAAACTGCCACTTTGAGTATTTACTAAAATTAGCCTGAAATCCAAAGCTGACAGTTTTGATCATCACCAAGATCCTGCCAGGCTAAATGAAAACTGCATTTGAAGCCCCCCTCCCCCCAGCTTGTTAAATCTAGGCTCTCAGATTGTTTAAGAAGTCACACCTAAATCAGTATCTTAACCCCTTATATTGATATTTACCAAATACCTACTAGACTCAGATCACACTGCTGCAACAACGATGGATAAGAATAAACCTTAATTAATCCCTTAAGGACGGAGCCAAATGTACACGTTGTGAACAAAACAAAATGTAAACAAAACCTGGCATTTGCGCAACATGTCTGTCCAACTGTAATTCACCTCTTTCATAGTAAATGCACCCACCCTTATTATATATCATTTTATTCAGGGGAAACAGGGCTTTCATTTAATATCAAATATTTAGCTATGAAACATAATTTAATATGAAAAAAATGGAAGAAAATACGATTTTTTTTTATTTTTTTAGTTCTACATGACATTTTAACGGTCAATGTCATAATATGGTTTGCTTTTACTGCAATAAAATACACATGTTTGTATTCAGCAAAGTCTCACGTGTAAGACAGTACCCCCTATGTACAGGTTTTATGGCGTTTTGGGAAGTTACAGGGTCAAATATTGCACGTTACATTTGAAACTGAAATTCGCCAGATTGGTTACGTTGCCTTTGAGACTGTATAGTAGCCCAGGAATGAAATTTACACCCATAATGTAATACCATTTGCAATAGTAGACAACCCAAGGTATTGCAAATGGGGTATGTCCAGTCTTTTTTAGTAGCCATTTGGTCACAAACACTGGCCAAAGTTAGCGTTAGTATTTGTTTGTGTGTGAAAAATGCAAAAAACGCCAATTTTGGCCAGTGTTTGTGACTAAGTGGCTACTAAAAAGACTGGACATACCCCGTTTGCAATACCTTGGGTTGTCTACTATTGCAAATGGTATGCCATCATAGGGGTAATTTTCAATCTTGGGCTACCATAGGGTCTCAAAGGCAACCTAACCAATCTGGCGAATTTTAATGTGAAAAAAATGAAACGCAAGCCTTATATTTGACGCTGTAACCTTTGAAAACACCATAAAACCTGTACATGAGGGGTACTGTTGTACTTGGGACACTTTGCTGAACACAAATATTTGTGTTTCAAAACAGTAAAAAGTATTGCAGCAATAATATCGTCCGTGTAAGTGCTGTTTGTGCGTGAAAAATGCAAAAGATTTTACTTTTACTGGCGATATCATCGTTGTAATACATTTTACTGTTTTGAAACACTAATATTTGTGTTCAGCGAAGTCTCCCGAGTAGAACAGTACCCCCATGTACAGGTTTTATGGTGTCTTGGAAAGTTATAGGGTTAAATATAGTGCTAGCAAATTAAATTCCCTTTACTTTTGGCATGGGTTGTCAGTAGTAATATCGCGAACCGTCCGCGAACTTGCCGCGAACGGTTCGTTGCGGTTCGCCACGAACCGTTTGCGGCAAACTCCGGTCAGCTGACACATCCCTGCCAATCTCCGGCAGACCCTCCCTCCCAGACCCTCCTACTTCCTGGACAGCATCCAGGTTGAAGGCAGCTTCAACATGGATGCTGTCCAGGAGGTGGGAGGGTCTGGGAGGGAGGGTCTGCCAGAGATTGGCAGGGATGTGTCAGCTGACCGGAGTTCGCCACGAACCGTTCGCGGCAAGTTGTCAGGCAGGTCCCGTTAATTGTAATTAATTAAGATACCTAATTATGTAAAAATATTACATAAATATATATGTAGAATTAATATATGTATATATATACGTATGTGTATATATATGTATATATCTATATAATTTTTTAAAAATATTTTTATTTATATATAGTGATATATACGTATATATTTATGTATATAGATATATATATTATTTCGTTCTACGTGTATTTTGAGATATATATATATTAATTTCACAATACAGTTAGAATGAAATAACACACATCTTTATATTTTTTAATTATTTATTTTTAATAATTTTTTTAATTTATTTTTTAACGTATTTACATATTTTTATATTATATATAAATATATATATATAACAATAATGATATATATATTTAATCAGTATCAGTCTACGTGTAATTTGATATTAATATATATATATATATATATATATTTATATTAATAGTAAAATACACCTAGACAGTGTACGTGTGTGTATGTATATGTGTATACATATACTTAGATCACATGTATATATATTATATATATATATATATATATATATATAATATATATATACATATGATCTAAGTATATATTATTATTTTTTTTACACTCTTTATTTTATTTTATTTTATTTCCAGCCAGCAGGGGGACCACCTGTCATTACAGGCAGTCCCCCTGCTGGCAATGCTGCAGCCAGCTACCCCCGGCCATGTGATTGTGGGGTCCTCGCAAGGACCCCACTCTCACATGGCTGGGGGGCTTCCAGGGGGTCGGACGTGCTGCGGGGGGCTCCCTGGGAGTCCCCCCCACTGCGATCGCTGGCGTGGGATCGCCGGCGACCGGGTAAGTAGGAAAACACCGGAGGGCGTACTATTACGCCCGGGGGCGTTTAGAGCCGCTTAGAATAGGGCATAATAGTACGCACTCTGGTCTTAAGGGGTTAATAAAAGTACCGTATATATTCGAGTATAAGCCGACCCGAATATAAGCCGAGGCCCCTAATTTTACAACAAAAAAATGGGAAAACTTATTGACTCGAGTATAAGCCTAGGGAGGGAAATGCAGCAGCTACTGGTAAATTTCTAAATAAAATTAGATCCCAATAAAATTACATTAATTGAATATTTATTTACAGTGTGTGTATAGAATGAATGCAGAGTGTGTGTTTGTGTGTGTATATAATGAATGCAGTGTGTGTATATAATGAATGCAGTGTGTGTGTTTGTGTGTTGTGTGTGTATATAATGAATGCAGTGTGTATATAATGCAGTGTGTTTGTGTGAATGCAGTGTGTGTGTTTGTGCAGTGTGTGTAAACTGGGTGAGGGGAGGGCATTTAAAAAAAATATATTTTAATATTATATTATTGTAATATTATTATTTTAATATTATTATTTTAATATTTGCATTATTTTTTTTTAAATGGTTTTTTGTACCCCCTCCCTGGCCAGGCAACAAGCAGGGAGGGGGGACAAAAATAAAAAATAAAAAATAATAAAATAATGCAAATATTAAAATAATAATAATAATATAATAATAAAATAATAATATTAAAATAATAATAATAATATAATAAAATAATAATATTAAAATAATAATATTGAATCTCTGGTGGTCCAGTGGATGGGCTGTGCAGTGGGGGGGTGCTGGCAGTGAGCTCTTACTTACCTTCCAGCAGCTCCTGTCAGCTCCCTTCTCCTCCGTGCAGCTCCCCTGTCAGCTCCGTTCTGCTTACAGTGTAAGTCTTGCGACACTTACACTGTAAGCAGAACGGAGCTGACTGGGTAGCTGCACGGAGGAGAAGGGAGCTGACAGGAAGGTAAGTAAGAGCTCACTGCCAGCCCCCAACAGGACATCCGGGCTTGTAATGAGCCCGGCAGTCCAGGACTGTATTATGGCAATGTAAGTTGCCATAATACAGACATTGACTCGAGTATAAGCAAAGTGGGGGTTTTTCAGCACAAAAAATGTGCCGAAAAACTCGGCTTATACTCGAGTATATACGGTAATTCACAAATTCTACACCACGCAACCAAAAACGAAAAACACTCCTCCCTCCTTAACATAATTTAAGATTGCTGGATGGGCATAAAAGCGGCAGAAATTTTGTCTTAAAAAGGTCATGCAGACAAAATACAGATATCTCTTATATCTTTATTCCGATATGGAAATTAATGTGCATGCATGTTACTGATTATTTACGGACAGGAAATGTTCCTATTAATTCCATTTACAATTAATAATCCCAGGGCTAGCAGAAGGTGTTGTCTTTATCTGGCAGAATGACAAAATGACAAAATGTTAGCATATGTCCCTATTTAGGAGGTACAGTCCTTATTTTAGACCCAAATACTCTTTCCCCTATTTTCCCTCTTTTTTTTTTAGGAGCTTTATATGGTCTGTGTGTCTGAGTGCGTGACTGAGCTACTCGGCAATAATGCAGTAAAATGTCAACAATAAACAAATGTGTTTAGCAAACAGTCTGTGCAAATGGAATACATTATTTAGAATCTAAACTACATTTAGTTGCATAAAATATTTGTAAAATTTTGTGTTACTTCCTGGTTTGTTTAGCTCAGTGGAGCTAAACTCAAGAGGCAGCAATTGCTTAGGGCACCTGCCTTGCAAAGACTTCTTAAAGGGACACTGTAGTCACGATAACCACTTTGTCTCTTTGAATTGGTTATAGTGCCTGGGGTGCCCTGGCACTGTCCCTCCATTCAATGTTGCAGTATGCCACAAAATAAGAGTCCCTGGCCACCCACAGTCCGGCCCCTTCTGTATGTGTAGCTAAGGCAGAGATTACACACGTCCTTGTTGTCATACCCATTCATACCGTCAGTTGGAGCTCTGACAGGTTAAAAGCAGGCAGCTGACACTCTCAGCCAATCACAGCTGCCTATTGCTGCTCAGGGTAATACTTCCTTATTAGCCAAAGCAGCACAGAGGGGATGGACTGCCGTGGTCTCTTGTTTAACGTTAAAACATTACAACATTAAAAACTGTTTAATGCTGAAAGAAATGATGGCACCAGGGGACTCCATACACTATAACCAGTTTGATGAGATGAAGCAGATACAGTGCCTACGTTGTCCCTTTAATGAGTTGCATTGGGAAGTCTGTGATTGGACAGACACAAAGTCTGGGCAGGGTTATAAGAGGAGGGCTTGCAAAGGCAGCAGACAAGAGATCTGGCAGCTTGTGCAAGCTGTTTTTAGATTTAACTCCAATGGAAAAAAATATGAATAACTAAATGCATGCACGTTTTAATTTGAGGTAACATAAAAACATAGAATGTGACGGCAGATAAGAACCATTCGGCCCATCTAGTCTGCCCAATTTTCTAAATACTTTCATTAGGTATGTCTACAACACAGTGGTTTATATTTTTTACCCAAGCATTGAACCAAAAAGTGTATATTTACACATACAGAATGTCTGATGTACAATATTTAGAAGATTAAAGGGACTCATACACAGGAACTGGCTGTAGTGTGGTAAGTGCACTGCCAGGACTACCATTTTCGGATTTTATTTTTCTGTAAAAAAAGCTATTTACTGATTTACATTTTTCCCAACTCTCAAGAAATATCATTTTTGATTTTCTGTAAGTCTCCTAAATTCAATGGCCATCTATGAACCCCTCTGCTAGGCAAAATGCTAACTGAAGTTCAAGCAAATGTGAAGAATAAATCAGATCTGTCACTTCTCTGGAAATGACCAAACCTTGCTTTCCCACTCCAGTAAATACTAATGAAGCATTTACTGGACAGTGCAGTGCAGTGTAGGCAAGTATAAAATATATTTACGTCTGCAGCACTTCTATGTTCAAGGTGATGTCATTACCCCATGGGTTTGCAGGAGCACACATGCATGCACAGGCATCTGCAAAGACATATCCTGGCTGTTTGAGTGTAGCAAGTGTAAAAGTTAATTATTCTCCACTACATTAGTTTATGGGTATGTCCCAAATTCAGGATGGTGTCAACAGTCACACTATAATGCTTACTTAAGCACTGAGGATTCCTTGACATCTTCCTGAGATGCACTGTGAGCCGCGCTCCAAATATCTGTTTTTCAAGGTTATTTACTAAAGTAATAACTTTCAAGAATTCAGGGTGAATTCAAATTTAAAGTAAATACAGCCAAATAGAGAAGAAAAAGAAAAAAACTCCAAATCAACTAGGCTTGCAGTTTGGATCCTCTGGTATTTGCAATTTAAGGCCAAACAATTCTCACTTTAGCACTGCCTGTGATGAGACATACAATTGACATTAATGCAAGTTTAAAAAGAAACAGAGTATTACTTAAAATAGAAGGCCAACTAACAGCACATACTAATGGCGAACACAATAAAACAAAGATAAGTGCTCTCTATCCGATAATAGCTGCAATTCACAAACAAGGCATTCCCTCACCCTTGTGAAAAACAAATCAAAACAAATAAAGACAATTATGTGAACAGCGCTTGAGATATAAATTACATACATAGAAGGAGAGAGCGATATCCAAAGATCTATATTTCAAACTAAGAGGACACAATAAAAGTGCAATATGTAATTACAATAGTGCAGATATTTGTATAATGCCAAAGGAACACTCACACTTTATAGAGCTATATAAGCTCTATTTCTTGAGCCTGGGCGGAATAAACCCCGTCTAAGGATCTCTTTGTAGATATCAGCACTGCTTAACTCATCGTATATAAAGAGAAGAAAATGAACCCAATAGTCTAGTATGTAGGGTAACAATAATGGAAAAACGATAAAACATACGTACATCACCTAAAGCAATGACCTGCTCTAGTGTGTAGAACTTTAGGATTGTTCCACCTAAAGTTCTACACAGTATCTGCACTATTGTAATTACATATTGCACTATTGTTGTGTCCTTTTTATTTTAAGATATACATCTTTGGATATCACTCTCTCCTTCTACATATGTAATTCACATCTCTAGCGCTGTTCACC